CATTACTTATTTTTTGTCTAGGTGATCTATTTGTGACAGTGGTGTATTGAGGTCCAAAACACCTGAGAGCTAGAAAACATCTTGTTGGCAATGATGTCTTCCTCTGGTTGCAACTTTTAATGGCAAGGAGGGGAGTGATGTCTGTCCCTGAGAGATGACAAATATTTAGTTTGTCACTGTTCTGTCCCTCCTGGGAGTACACCTGTTTTAAAAATCATAGGAATTCTGCACACACTCAGAAAACTTTGCTGGCCTTCAGTCTGGTTCAATTCAGCCTTTTAATACAAGGGAAAAGATAAAGCTGAAAGAGGTCTTGCTTCCTAAAAGTTGGCCTGCACTCCAAGAACCCCAGGCTCAAAGACGAAAGACTCTGGGAAGGGCTGCTGGGGCATGGCTGGGGTGGAAGTGGGGACTCGGGAAGGGCAAGCTCCTGGGTCCCAGAGAAGCCAAGGTGGGCCCCTCAAGAGGCTGGAATGGGCTTTTGCTCCCCTGGGGAGGGCCGAGTGGAGACGGAGGAGCCACTGCATCCTGCTATCAGGTTCCCAGCTCCTGCAGAGCGGGTTTCTCCTCCAGGATCTGAGCTCTTTGTTGACTCTGGGAGTTTGCCCTGTGACGAGGGAAAAGTCATTTGCCCTGTGTCAGCCTCCTGGCATCTGTCACAGCCCAGGGCCTGTGGGAGCATGAGACCACATGAGATGCAGAGAGGAGAGGAAGAAGCAGAGTGCAGTCTGCCTTGTGACAACAGTGGCAGCTATTCCGGACCCAGAGGCATTCAGTATTTACTTAAGTGGCATGTATGGAAGCCCCAGGGCCAGACCTTCAAGAGTGCAGACAAGAGCAGACAGGAGTTTGAGTGAGGGTGCTCTCTTTCACTATGACCTTGCCTGAGGTTTGCCAAGCCTACCTGGTAGAGTTGTTACACATATTCTAGAAACCCCCAAGGATTGAAATCCAGTTCAGCTACCTGCTGCTTTCAGAACTCACTCTATTTCTTCACATTTTGAAAATCCATAGCCAATGTCTGTCCTACTACTGTTATCTACAGTGCCTCTCACTCCAAACTCCCAGCACTGCTTCTTCCGTGGGATCTGCAGGCTAAGCGTGGTCAACAGTGAGAATAGGGGGCTGAGAGGCTTCCTGGGTAGCAGACTGCCACGCAGGGCCAAGTGAGGAGCCTCTGGGAAGCTTCTGAAGGGCCCTCACTTGCTTGGTATCTGTATCTTACAAAGCAACAAGAGTGGGAGTGCAGAAAGATGCAAGACCCCAGGTGAGGTAAAGGGAGGGAAGGTCCCAAAGGGTTAGAGAAACATTCATGAGCCTGGTCCGTCCTACCACCACCCATGAGCTGACCATCTGATTGATCAGATCACAGAATATTTATTAGTGAACCAAATCCAGCAGCTAGCAAGGTCATTTCCCATCCATAGACCTCCCATCTGGACCTTTTTGGTTCTTTCTTTCATTGTTCCTATGCAGCAGGGGTGGGAAAGGGCTGGGGCCCAATGGCTCACTGACAGAATCCCAGTCTATCCTACTCTGTGTCCACTTTATTGTCAGATAGTCTGAGAGGCTAGTCAGCCCTAGGGTGCCAAGGAGAAGGAACTGGGTCTAACCTTCCGTCCTCTGCCCCTTTCTACACACAGATTTCAGAAACAGGCCCAGCACATAAGAAGGTACTCGCTTTCCACTAACTTGGATCCTTATGTCTCCTTTGGGAACCTTGTTTAGATGCTTGTGGGAAGTGCAGCTCTGGATGAGCATGGAATTCCTGCATTTCCACTTGACCATGGCATCATCTTACTGTCCCTGATCTCCAGCATCATCTCTAGCCCTCCACACGGCACTGGCAGCTCCTCCTTTACTTCCTCACCGTTCATTCACTTACACACACACCTGCTTATGTGCAAGACAGCTTGGTGCTCAGTGAACAGTGCGTCCAGGAAGTTTACAGACTAATCCAGGGTTGCCACAATCTTCTGCAAACGAGTAATCTAGTTTCAAATTTTCCTGAAGTATTAATACTAAAAAAATACTTAAGTAACCCTAATTTTAAGAGAATCAGGCAGGGCATTCTATTTCAGTCAACTGTTTCTGTTTGGTATACACCCATGACAGCACAGATATACTGTTAAAGAAGACGGAAACAAAGGAGCTAGCAAAGAAGGGAGAACAATGGTCAAAGAATAAATGTAGGATTAAAAAAAAAAAAGTTAAAGAGTAGACCCACCTGCTCCACACACATGTGCATCCCTTCCTCCTGCCCGGGAAAGCTGGTTGCTCCATTTTAATCTCACTGTCTATGACTTTGCTTTTGCCTCATAGGCCTCCAGATTCCTGCTCAGGATTAACCAACAGCTTAGGGGTGAGAAACTGGGGACTTTCACCCCAATATATTCTCTTACTTCCATCTCACTAGTTATTGCTTGCCATTGAATCCAGACAGGTTATCTCCTATCTTCAATCTTTTGAAAGGCAATACAGGTTGAATATCCCTTATCCAAAATGCTTGGGGCCAGAAGTATTTCAGATTTGGGGATATTTACATATGATGAGATACTGTGGAAATGGGACTCAAGTCTAAATATGAAATGCAGTAGTTTCATATGCACGTGGTCTGCAGACAACTATACAGTTGGTATGCCTGTATTTTGTCCTGTGTGAAATTTCCCACTTTTGGTGACATGGTAGCGCTCAAAAAGTTGTCATTTTGGTGCACTTTGGGTTGTGGATTAGAGATGCTCAACAGGTCTGCAAATCAGGTATGTGTTCACATGAAACAAGGCTCCCTAACTTGTCCAACTCTGCTCTTTCTAGCTTTTGTCAGTTTTAAATCTGTACTAGGAAATGCTCATTGCTTTATTGTTTACAATTTTTACCTCAAATGACTTGGCATTCACAGCAGCTTGGATAGGTTTTCATCATTTTGAAGATATAAAAAATTGAGGTTCCAAAAGGGTGACCTGAACAGGGTTAAACAAATCAAGGCAAAGGCTGGGGATTTAGCTCAGTGGCACCGTGCCTGCCTAGCAAGTGCAAGGTCTTGAGTTCGATCCCCAGTACCAGAAAAAAAAGAACAACAACAACAACAACAACAAAACAGATCAAGGCAGACCTGCAACTTAAAAGCCCCTTGACTCTAAGCAACCCTGCTCATTTCCTCAGGTAGCCTGTGAAGGATCCACTGTCTCACAGTCATGCTCAACAGGATGAACCCATAGATGTCCTGTGTAGTGCTGGTTACATTGCTTGGAAATACTTTCTGAACAATACAGTACCTGTGTTTTGTGTACTTCACTAGACTGCATAGCCCATACCCCAGCCCATGCTTTTGAGTACCAGTTTTTGCTGTCCAACCTCGAGGACCAGCTCAGTAAAACACACACAGCTGCTCTCACCAACTTGTCTTCTGTGAGGTCCTGAGTTGTTCTGCATATTTATCCTATTGTGTTCTGGCCATCAGTTTTAACCCTCATACTGTCATCGACAGAAGTTGTTTTAAGTGATGGTGCTGGAGTGCCCATAAACAAAGGAAAACTATCAGAGTGGAGGTTTAAAAGCTAAGTTTTACAGTGGCCCAAAGTAGGAAATAGAAGAGTGCTATAAATATAACTGTAGACTGGGAAGACTACAAACAGTAGTGTGACTTCAAGGGATTCTGTATTAACACCTTTCCACAAAGACTGCTAGGATGGCTAACTAGGCCTTGGTTCAGAAAGCTCCCCTACTTCCTGGAAAGCCTCTTCTAGCACCCACTTCTAATGCCCCATGGGAGTCCAGACGACCCTGTTACATTTGTACCTCAGGTTTGTGAATCTCTATAGGCATTAATCTCCCATTCCTATGAGAAGTCAGTTCCATCACAACAGTCTATTGCTTCATTCCCACAGTTCAGGCTTGAAGCCTATTCAAAAACATTCTGTATTTCCATTGTATTTGGTCTGTATATATTTTCTAATCTCTGGAATCAATTTGTTGAAATTTTATTTTCTAAAGACTACCTTAAAATGAGAGTAACTGTACTTACCCATTTGTTGAGGAATAAGTTGTAAATTATAAATTAGCCCACCGCCCAACACATCTTATGACACCCACCATTTGCTTTAATAATCTGCAGTATTTGTGATTGATACCACTATCAAAACTTGTCATTTCTATCTAGCACAATGCCTTTACTAAGTAGATCAGTGCTGAATGCATGCAGGGTCAAAGCTTACGCCCCAGCAAGTGAAGATGCACATCAACAGAAAACACAAGTGTTACCATGGAGTTTGCACTTCTTTGACCCCTTTCTTATTTTTCTTTTTTGTCCCCAGTACTATGGACTGAACTCAGGACCTTTGCACTGAGCTACATCGCCAGCCCGTTTGAGAATTTTTAAAGTCTCGGTACAGGGATAAGTTGCCCAGGGTAGGCGTGGACTTGTGATCTTCTTGCCTCAGCCTCCCATTGCACCCAGCTTCCCTTCCTCACTTGGACAGGAGAGCATAGTTTCAGAAGCTTAAGAATAGGGAGTTAGGGAAAACTATGAAGGTTGCAACTTTAAAAAATCATCTGTAGAAGTGGGTAAATATGCAAAGGCTCAAATGTTTTCTATTTTACAATTCAAGACCATTTAAAAGCTTTAGCCAGTCATTTGAAAATGCCATTCGCATTTACAATATCACATTTCTCACCCCCACTCTTAAACATATGCACATAAATCTGCAATTATGGGTAGAGGTTTTTACTCTAAATGACCTTTTTATTTGGAAATGACAAAAAAAGCTAATTTGAGACCCTCATTTTGGCTTTAGTTCACTTAAAACTTTTCACTTCCATTGATTCTTTATTCATCATATGGACATAATTTAATGTCTTACCAGGCTCACCATAAGGGGTTAAATTTGAACACCTACCACACTGAAAATTTAAAATTTTACCGCAACATATCATCAGAAAAATCTTCATATTCATTTTGTGCATGATGAATTGTCAAGTAAGACTCGGTGACAACATATTAATTCAAGTGACTTCAATTTTATTTTTTTTATATCATCTTCAGAGGCAGGGAGAAGTGTCATGTAGAGTGTATCTCCCCACCCATTTGAATCAGTCAGGAACTGGGATGGAGGAAATAAGCTAGTAGACTGTCAGTAGCATCACCACGTACATTTGGTTACGGCGTTGCCATGCTAAGAAACCTGGGCCCGAGGACTGATCCCCGCAAGGGCCAGTTAGTTTAATTTTCCATGGACCCAGGCTGGACTGTTGGCTACAGACAGCTTTCTCACAATGCGTCTTGTCACAAGATAAGGTACTGGCAGAGTGGTAGATGGATGAAACAAAGCTACCTACACTAATGAAAGGGGAAAAAAAATCCCATGTACACTATTGCCAGTGCATTGATAAAATCTTATCTATAAAGAAAAAATACATATATTCTTATTTTCATGTTTAAAAATATTTCCAGCCTAAATATTCCATGACAGTAACACTTGACTCTTGCATTTTAGAACTGTCTAATAAATAATATTCCACACAAAGCTACAATAAAGGCCCTGATAATTATTACTCAATTTGTGTAACTGCTAACTCCATACAGACATCCTATTTTCTTATCTATGTACCACAATTTTTGCATATTTACCATTAGTTATTTGGCTCAAAGTATTATGAAAAATTCATCTAGAAAATTATTTGTAAAACTGATTTCTGTATTTTATTTTTCAAACAGCCAGTGTCCACATTTAAAATGCAGAATTTGCAAATATAAGTTAGTCTAATAATTCAATTTAAAATAAAGCAAAACAATTTCCTTTAGTATCACAATACATAAAATGGTATTATAAACTTCAAATGGCAAAGTTAACTAAGGACAATAGTGCCAAAAGTCGTGAAACTCATCAAACTTCTTAGAGAACAGGTCGGCTTTGAAAACACCTCTATATTCCACGACTGTGATGACACAAGTGTTTGTTGTATTATAAAGGCTCAGCAATTCAATCATGCCAATAATATGGGGTCAAGCAAAAATTATTTTTACAATGACAATAAAAATGTATTTAAACAAACAAAAAATCCTCCCACTTATTTAAAAACAATTCTACATGGAGGGCAAAATATATCCGAATACACTGATTTACTAAATTTCAACTGTCAGGCTATTGATTTAAAAGTTTGTATTTAAAAAATCACAAATCTCTTAACAGTGAAAATTTCAACGTGATATATCATTGCAAAGCACTTTTCACCTGAGTAGATTTTGAAATTTAGTGCTATCTTTCTGGGGAAGGAAGGGAAGTGAAGACCCAGTTTGTGTCCAATACTGGGTTTACAGCTGATTCCTCTACTTTACTCTATGGAATTGCTGACACAATCTGCTGTGACCTTCCCAGGACACACGGTGCCCTCTTTCCTCTCAACAATTTGCTCTGGCATTTTATGAATTCTCAGTATTCGTGAAGTATTTTCAGTTAGCTACCCATTCAAGCACAGCAACCCAATTCATTCAGTTCTATACAACAGTATCTATATTATGTACATATTTAATTATCAATAGGAAATAGAAAATAAAAATTTACAGTGATTGAGAAAGGGTCAAAAATGGGATAGGAAAAGTAATACTGTATAATCTGAACATCCTATTAGCCTACCAGTTTCAATGGCAGAGTTTTTCTTTTATTAGCTGAAATACAAAGAAGTCATAGGGGATCCCAAGAAAATAATACTATGTATCAGAAAATTCAACGTTCTCCATCATCAGGATTTCCATCACACATTTAATTTCTCCTGTACAATTTTTATAAACTTGTTTTTCTTTTCAAAATCATCTGATTTCCAGATTAAATTCAGCACTACACAGTATGCCCTTGAAGTAAAATGAGGTTACCTGCTTTATTTGGATACCAAGTTCCCTTCCAAACAGCATTAAAATAAAGACAAGTAAGACTACACAGATAAAATCCAGTATAATTCAAATCCAACAATGAAAAATTTCCCCCATATTTTTGCAAAATTCTTTCTACTGAAATGCTTTGCTACAATAATAAAAAGCATACATTACATATAAAAGATACCAGTGTACTAAAAAGTGACAGAAGTGGACTAGCAAATCCTTCAAAGCACATTATATAAATGACTAGCATTTTAAAAACATTTCTCCTATAAAATGTAAGTCATATACATTTATAAATTGGCGGTTTTATCTCTAAAGCAGTGATGTGTGTGTTCAAATAGCTGTTCTGTACAGTATATTACTCACTTCAAACTACAATTTTGTTTTTCTTTGTATTGAAGTTGAATAAACTCATCTGATCAGCTGAGAAATCAAGCTTGAAAAATAAGTATCTAAAAACCAAAGTAGAAAGTCTAGAATTATTGAAATGTAGCTATGAAATATGAAGAGAACTATCTATTTCACAATGGAGCTGAATTCACCTCAAAACTTACGGGCTTGAATCTAAAACAGAAACAAATATTAAAATCCAAAGCAAACCACAAAGTTAGGTAGCAGTACAGAAGCAGGAAAAAACCCACATCCCTTCCTTCAGTGTGATGGGCACTATGTGTGCGGTCTTCCTCCATCTTGCAGAAGAGTGGTAAGGCCATTCAATGCTTAGTGAGAGTGAGCGCAGATAAGCCAGATCTAGCCTGTCCCCCCTGCAGCGTCAATTATGCTGTGTAAACAGTGTTACGTTCCAACAGGAGGAACAATGGAATCTGCTTATAAAAACTGATTAAAGATAATCATTATTAAATGAAATAAGGATAATTAACAACTCTGAAATGTTTTTAGAACGTTCCTGATGCTACTTGTAAAGTTAGCACTGCTGTGTATTATTGCTTACAGTACAACATCATATGCCTTCTAACATAAAGCAGTACTGTGGTTTGTACATATTTACAGATTCTTAAAAACAAGCTGTAAAAACATTACATACTTTCAGACAATACAAATTAGCACAATGGTACTCACTTCAAAACAAATGGAATGCATAACAATAATAAACATCATAAAGGAAGACTCGCATGAAAGTCCTTGATTGTCAAGACACGTTTATATATAAACTCTAACTGTGCAGAATTAAAGATTCAATCATAGGTACATCCTTACTTGAACCATATTTACAGCATGGTATTGCATAAAAAAATAAAATAATGTTTACAGGGTTTTACTTTTTTATCCATTGGATTAAAGAAAGCAACAAACATAACAGGAAATGTTTGTCTGCTTTAGTTTGTTTCCTACCAAAGTTTAAGTGAAAAAGGAAACAGTTTTTATTTGCAGAATATAGCAAAAACAACTGGAAAATTATTTCCCTGAAATAAAGCAATTTGAAACGGAAAACCTTTAAGTTAAATTGCCCACTCAAAAATTTTCTTTGATTATAATAGTGCTTCTTCAAGTAAATAGACTGAAAAAAATGAGTGCTAGTTTAAAATGTTCTAAGAAATGTAGTACTACAGCACTGCCTACTTTTAAAGTTCCCTGGCTTATTTTTTTTTGAAACAGCCCTTTAGAAACCCAAATTAACAATATGAAAGAAGTGGCGAAAGATCTAACCTTGCTGGCACTTTGCAAGTGTCTCTCATCTGTGGAAATGAAAGCCTGCCCTGAGCACAAGGCCTTTTCTACCTCCCAAGAGATAAAATGACCTGATTGCTGGCATCCTAGCCAGAGCTAAAAAGATGGACTCCTACCTTATCAGGTAGCACATTTGCATGTAGATCCAAAAAATTTAGGAGCCACTCAAATATTTCAAACCAAATGAAATATATGTACAATAAGAATTTAAGTTAAAAACACTTTCAGAAAGATGGTTAAGAGACACTACCTCATTTAATATGATGTTTCCAATCCTCAAACATGCAAGTAGGGACCTATGGGGAAAAGCACACTTCGCTTGCATTGATGGAAACTATACGGGCGTTAAGACTAGGTTTTTATAGAACAATTTGCTTACTAAGAGAAACAAGAAACATGGATTGCAAAGGATATCTCATATCCTTCATGTTTCAATCTAAAGCAGCATACAAGGCTACTTATTTTCTCTACTAATGCCCAGATAGAAATTAAACAACTCTCTGAACCAAAATGGGGAAACCCAAACTGTTGAGATGTTCATCATGTGATGATAATACAAGGTAAGTCTGGTAGGCATTTAGAATTTCACAGTAAGAGTGATGACTATATGTAAATGGTAAGTCAGTAAGTTATGCTGGCTAAGTATCAGTTATCTCAAAAATGCTCATAACCTGGTAGAAAAGTCTGCCATTGTGTAGATGTGAAGAAATGTGTTGAAGACAGGAACACAACACCTGAAATTCTGCTTCCATAACTACCATTTCCAAAGGCCTTTTTCCCTAAGCTTACCCAAACTGCTCAGCAATAACCATAGTATTAAACTGTGCTGGTGATGTTAAACAAAAAACTTTACATTGTACTAAGAACTGCATAAGTTCTTAATGGAACAAAATTTTTGATCAGGCTTTAAAAAAAATCAACTCAGGAAATATATGCCTACTCTCACCAAAGCACGTTGAGAAAAATACAAGTGCCTATCTAGGGTGAGCACGGTTCCATTTTTTAAAAATCTCACTTGAATGAATTCCTCTTGCAACCGTGTGATATACAACACAACACATACCAATCTTAAGATCAGTAATGGCAGAACTTAAATATTTACTTCAAAGAAGTGTAAAATTCTTGAAAACTTTGGCAGCAAAGAAAGCTGTCAAATGGGAAAACTAGTATTTCAAGCAAAGCTTAATGACCATAGTGTAGAGGAAACCACACTAAACATAATTTATACTCCATACCATAAAATACAAATATATTCAAAATAAATGAACATAAATGAAGGATGTTGGGGGGATATTTCTTTGTTCCCTTTCTTTACGAGAACAGTCTCGGGACAAAATTAAATAAAAGAAAAATAATTTAAATGCATAATATATTCTACACTGAAACAAAGAATGCAGATTTACAGGGCCAATAAAATTAAAATGGAAATGAACAAAGTAAAGTTTCATCTTCCAAGGATATTGATTTTAATTTTCACTGGTGCTTTATCAGTATGTGCATTGTGACAAAGATGATGAAAATTTAAATTACAAAAACCAAAGAAATTGAAACAAATTAAAGAGATAAAGAATCAATGTAACTAATGTTATTCTTCAAAAAATTAAACTGTTCAATGTGTAACTCAAACCATCATTCTTCAGAAAAGCATATATATAAAAGCACTATTTATTGTACCATGCTGTATTATTTTAAGACAAAGTATTAAAAAAACCATTCGTGGTATAAGGATAAAGTCTGTAGTTTATTTAGAATTTGAAATGCAACAAAATTTTTCCGATTTACTTATCTAGCTGAAAAGAAATTGTAGTTACTGGAATTAGTAAACACTTTTGGTTTATAAAATTGTAATGAGCAATGTTCATTAAAGAGTAACTCAAGATAAAATAAGCAATTAAAATGCCCATTTCTTTAGTTTTTCTGAACACTAATTATCCGATCTATCAAGAGTCTAGAAAGAGGATTAAACCAGGTTGTACAGTTTCAAAGATACCTCAATTTCTTTTTATTGCCAAAAATTAAAATTGTCAATTATGAGATGATTATGACACAACCATATCAAACCTAAAAATCTAAACTTTTTTAACTTTGAGAAATCAAAAATACCACATAGATTCTAAGTGCTCTATGTTAACTGAAGTGTATATGTAAAAGTAAAATACAATTAAGCTTTAAAACGTGGAATATACATTTTGTGTAAGCATTATGTTCTTGGGAATGTAATCTACAGAATATTTTTTACTAAAACTTCAAAACCTTGTTACTTGCACATGAAAAATCATAAAAAATATCTAGGAACAACTGTACAAAGAAACTGACACCAATACGCATACTTCCACAGAGACTGCTTTGACAGTTGTATATTTTGGTAAAGGTTTTGAAAGTATGCATATTTTAAAAGTAATTAGGCTTTTAAATAGTGGAGTCTTAGACTATCAGATTTTTATTACTTTTTTTCTTCAAAAAAACACATGTCAATATAATGCAAAACGAAAATCAAGGGTATATGGCATACCATTCTTTTTAGAAGGTGGTTTCTTGGTTTCTTTTTCCCCCTATAGGACAAACTAATTTAAGCCATAATCTCTTGACATTTAAACTTTTAAATTCACTCTGTAAAGTATAATCAGATTCCCTGCTGAAGTGCAATGACTATGCTGAAAAACTTAGAAACAGTATGAGTAAATTTCACACGATTACTAATCTCCTAAGAATGTACAATGTTATCAGTTAGGAAACAATTGTGCGAGTCTTTTTTTTTTTCCTTTTTAACTTGTGTAGGTGGAATAGCAAGTTTCTGATCTAAAACAAGTAATGCATTGCTTCTAGAAAGGTGACAACATGTAAGGCAGTTCAAAGAATGCTGACTAACCAAATAAAATGCAGTTATTGGATTATCTTGCTATTCGTATCAGCTTAACTTGTTAGAACGCATTGCTCTTAAATCTGTACAGCACTCCATTTTACACAGAGTAACCCCACTCTTGATTAATCTGTTCTAAAGTGCCAGTATTATTTACACTTTTTTTTTTTTTTTTTTGCCAAAAGTCTGGCCAGTTGTGGCATCTGGTGAAGATGTCATCCCAGCTCTGTTATCAGCTTAACTTGTTAGAATGCGTTGCTCTTAAATCTGTACAGCACTCCATTTTACACAGAGTAACCCCACACTTGATTAATCTGTTCTAAAGTGCCAGTATTATTTACACTTTTTTTTTTTTTTTTTAGCCAAAAGTCTGGCCAGTTGTGGCATCTGGTGAAGATGTCATCCCAGCTCTGTTATCATTTACATTCACCAAGGGAAATTCTGAAAATTCAGCACTTGTCCCTGGTCCCCGCAGGTTCACCTGTCCATTGGCAGTGCTAAACTGAGTAGCTATTCCAGCTCTAGATCCATGATATGGAGCACGGAAGGGCTGTTCAAACGAGCTCATTTGGTAAGCTTGGTGGACAGGCTGAGCCTCAGCTTTCTTCTGAGAAGTCACTTGATCCAAAAAGTCCTGTGTGGATGTGGCAGAAGCATGGTTTGTCTCATCACCTGAAAAGGGAAATGAGTGCTGTGAATCACCAACTATTAGTCCAAAGTGGGACTTATCTGGAGTTGTTCTTAGTGGAGAATTCATTCCTGATCGAAAGTTATTGAGAGGCATGGCTGCATAGACTTGTTTGTCTATGGAAGAGAATGCTGGCTGATTTGGAAGGGTCTGGTTATCAGTCACAAAGTTAAGGCTCGGGCTATTCAAATAGGCATCATTTTGGCTAGTTCTGTCCAAAGCCTGTTGCAGAAACTTTGAGTATTCTTGCAACATGTTGGCTTTATCTGACGAGGATGCTTGGGAGCTTGATCCAACATTCTCTGATGGGGTGACCTCGGGTACTTCTGAAGAATTTATTGATATGCTAGACGTCACTTCAGTGTCTGCAACACTGAAGGAAATCTCGTGCTGTCCATTAGCTTTATGAGAATAATGATCCAACAGAGTCTGCAGTACCTCATCTGGAATAACATTTTTGTCATGATTACTCTTAATCTCCACATTCAGTGCCTGTGAATCTAGTATGGATGCTGTGGTGCTTTCATCAATAACACTTGCCACAGCTGCTTGTGTTACAGAAGGCTGGGAAGCTATGGTACCCACATTCAGTGCGTACTCTCTGCTGTTGTTACTTGCTGCTTGAAGATACCGCTTCTTCTTCAGAAACTGCATGGCGTCATCATAATTAGTACTACTGTGTACAGGTTTACTGGGCCCCTCTTGCAAGTTATCAACCTGATCAATGTCAGCATTGCCTTCTGAGTCCAGTAAAGCTTGTTTATCCACAAGCTCAAATGCATACTTTGAAACTTTGCTCTCTTCATATGTAGATAAAGGTGAAATGGTTTGATTTTGCTCCAGTGGCTGTTTCAGACTTCTCTTACTATTAATTTTTTTGAGGACCAACTTCGGTGGGTGTATTTCTCCTGATGCATCTTCTAGATGAGATCCTCCAACTGAAGAATGTGGCATTTCAACAGCATATTCTGCTACCATATATTCATCTTTTACTTTAGTACTTGAAGAATAAAGAGGCAAGTAATCATTTTTGTCTTTCTTCAGGTCAGACTTTTCCAAAGAACTCTCTTTGTCCATTCCAGATGATTTCTTTTCAGCTTTCTGCCTTTTCTTTTTTGGCAGTGAGTTATCTTTTGGTGATGTAGAAAAGCCAGAATCTTCCTCAGATGTCAGAAGGCCACCTTTGATGGCACATCTGTTTAATTTTTTGTCATGATTTTCATGGCACATACGTTTATGTTTCAATACACGATCTGTTCTGGAAAAATACTGTCGAATTCACAGGTTGTAAGTAGTTTTGGGGTTTTGTGTTTTTGGTCCACAAAAAAGAAAAAAAGAAAGAAAACAACTGATGTAAGTATAATAATATAAGTAATTCCAAACAAATTCACTGCGTTGGTTTTCTATTATAAATCTGATCAGCAAGAGTTTAAAAGCACCTCAAAAAGTTCTAGCAGTAACATTTTCTAATTTCATTTATTAGAATTATTTTATAGCTTAACTATGATAGAGGAATTTCAAGCTACCTCTCTTACCTGTAAACAGTATTCACACTGGTAAGGTTTTTCTCCACTATGAGTTCTCTTATGCCTTTCCATATGATACTTTTGTATGAATCTCATACCACATTCATCACAGCGAAATGGTTTTTCACCTAGTTCATGATATAGAAAATTTAAAACAAAATAAATATTGTAAAATAATGAAATGCTTTGCCGTAAGAATCGTTAAAACACATAAATGGCTTGATAGCTGTGATAATTTATTTTTTAAATGACAAAAGGTGTTCATCATACTAAAGGTAGGAAGAAGGTGCACTCAATTTTTTCCTTCTGTTATATGGATACAGTCTTTCCATGGAGACCACAAATACCAGGAACTTATATATGGACATCTAAAAAAATGTTATCCATCCATAGTCCAACACAATTCTTGGGTGCAGCTTTTTATTACTTTCTCTCCAGGGTCAGGGATTTAGCTCAGTGGTTCTGCCGCCTGCCTCGCAAGCGGAAGGACCCGAGTTTGATCTCCAGTACCAAAAAAAAAAAAAAAAAAATTTCTCTCCAAAAACATGGTTAAATGAAATTTGAATTCTACAAAAATATTCTTTAAAATCTAATCTATTAAAAGAAAATAAAAAGAGTTGAGACTAAATTTCAAACGTAAGATTTGTTTATATTGAGTTTTTTCAACTCAAACCAGCATTTTTCATTTCATCTGGGGAATGATTTACAAACCTACTGCTACTGACTGCACACACGTCCCATTTCTTTTAATACCCTAAGGACTTCTTACCTATAAGGAACACTACTATGGAGCTCTTAGTAATTTTTACAAACTCTAAGAAAGGTGTGACAAGAAGTTATCTTAAATAATGCAGGTTCACAAAACTGTTTCTACTTATCACATACATATTCAACAAATTTTTTTTTTTTTTTTTTTTTTTTTGGTATCGGGGATTGAACTCGGGTCCTTGTGCTTGCGCAGCAGGCGGCGAAACCACTGAGCTAAATCCCCGGCCCTATTCAACAAAATTTTACTGAATACTGCTCCTTTGCCCATAGTAACCCTGTTGTAAAGGTTAAAAGTACACTTGTCTCCAAAGAATTTATTATAGCATAATTGGGAAAATAAGATACACATAAAATGACAACTCACAAAGCTATGTCTAGCTCTAGTTTACTTTTTAAAATTATATCCTACAATTTCCTTTCTTACTCTTTTTCTTCAGACAAACCAAAATACCAACATATCACACTCTTCTACTTTTTCCTTGATCCATGTGGCTCCTTTAGTCAGGAATGCCCACTTCTGTCTGAGTGTTCAGACACCTTATTCCCTTTAAAATCTATTTCCTTTAGGACAATTGGCCCTCTTTTCTTGGAATTTCCAAAAGAACTTCATCTGTAGAACTGGTTACTTTCAACTCAGTAATTATTTTACACATTTTTATTCTTTACCTCATTATATTTCCTTATATCAGAATCGAGACCTAAATTATATTTAAGTAGCTATGCAATTTTCAAGCACTAAGTGAATTGTACAGATGATTACTATAGTGGATTATTAGTGAGAAAATGTTACTATGAGCTATTTTGATTTGGAAAAGCTTCTTGGAAGTGTTGAATATAAACTGAATAGGACATGATAGATTAAAGGCAAGGGAAAGAAAAGTTGGGAAGAAATAGAGCAACTAAGTGTTTTGATACTATCGAGTGTCCAGGAGAAATAGTGTCTAAATTGAGAGTTTAATTTGGTCACAAGTAGATTATTTAAAGCTTTTTAGACTGTAACTTCTGTAAGTGTGCAGGTAACCCAACTTTAGGGCACAAGGTACTTCCCAGTGGCTTTCCTACTGCTCTTACAGGTCCCACAGAGAAAAAAAGAGGAAGGAGAAAATTAGTGGGTTGACTATAATTCAATGAATTCTATCTGAATTAATTCTTCATGAATTAGAAGACTTTATATTGTTAAAATGGCAATATTCTCCAAACTGCTCTAAAGATTCAAAGCAGAAATTGACAACTTTATCCTAATTCTTATACAAAATAGTCAAAACAATTTTGGGAAAAAAAAGGAGGACTCATACTTCCTGACTTCAAAATTTACTACAAAATTATAGTAAGATAATTTGAGAATGGCTTAAGGAAAGCCATATATATCAAGGAATGCAAATGAGAGGCCAGAAATAAACCCCTCCATTTGTCAGGTGTGGTAGCACATGCCTATAATCAAGGCACAAGTAGGAGGATCATGGGTTTGAAGCCAGCCTGGGCTACACAGCAAGTTTAAGGCCATCCTGGACTACTTAGTGAGCCCCTAACTCAAACAAAACACAACAGAACAAAACAAAACAAACCACTTACATTTATGGTCCAGTGGTTTTCTAAAAAGGTGCCAAAGCAATTCGATATAGAAAGAATAATCATTTCAATAAATGGTGCTTGTACAATTTGATACCCACATACAAAAGAATATAGTTGGACCCCTGCTTAACATCAAAAGCAAACTTAACTCTAAATGGATCATAGGCCTAAATGTAAGAAATAAAACTATAAAAATTATACCATAAAACATAAAGTGCCTGTCATCTCAGGTACCTGGAAGACTGAGATAAGAGGATCACAAATTTGAGGCTAACTCAGGCAACTTACCAAGACACTGTCTCAAAAAATAGTAAAAATGTCTGAGGATATAGTTCAGTAGCAGAACACCCCTCCCTGGGTTCAAATGCCAGAATTGCAATCAATCAATAATAAATAAAATAAAAATTAAAAACTACATGGTTTTAGTTAGGCAATGGTTCTTAGATATGACACCAAAAGCGCAAACAACCAAACAAAAAATAAATGAGTATCAAAATTAAGAATTACCATATGGTTCAGCAATTCCATCCCTAAGTATGTAAAAATAAATAAATAAATAAAAACAAGGACTCAGAAACAGAAATGAACAAACATAGGGACTTCAAAGAGATATCTAAATGCCAGTATCTATCACAGCATCATTTCCAATAGCTAAGAGGTGGAAGCAGCTTAAGTGTTCATCTACAGATTAATGGAAAGAAAATGCTATAGTTATAAACAATGGACCATTTTCCAGCCATAAATGTAAATATAATCCTGATTCACATTACTTATAACAAGGATAAACCGTGAAGATATTACACAATGTGAAAGAAACCATGAAAAAGGATACACATGGAATGAGTCTGCTCTCATGAAGGATCTAGAATAGACAAACTTAGCAACACGGAAAGCAGTGGTCACTAAGACTAGGGGGGCAGGCAAGGGAGACAGTACTTAATGGTTAGAGAATTTTGTTACATAACCTTATATATCTGCCAATGCCACTACATTGTATACTTAAAACTGATTAAAATAATAAACTTAATAAAATGTTTTTTCAAAAAGTAAACCCACAGAATGGATAAAATATTTACAAATCATGGAACACATATTGAGAATATTAAAAATCCCTCATAACTCAAGAGTACAAAGTTGAGTGCAAAGTTATGTAGTTTAAAAATGGACAATGGATCTTCAAGGTGGAAATATGAATGATATATGAGTGATCAAATGGCACATGAAAAGGTGCTCAACATCACAGTTATTAGGAAAATCAAAACCAAACTACCTCAAACCTAGGATGGCTAAAATAGACAACATGTGTCAGCATTGGATGCAGAGATATTGAAACCCTCACTGATGGTTATTAGAATTATAAAATAGTGCAGTTGATATAGAAACTAGTTTGGCAATCATCAAAATGTTAAACATAAACTGGGTATGGCAGCAAGCACATGCCTGTAATTCCAGCACTTGGGAGGCTGAGGCAGAATGATTAAGTCTGAGGCCAGCCTGGCTACACAGTGAGTTAAAGGTCAGCTTAAACTACATAGTAAGACCCTGTCTCAAAACAACCCCCTCAAAGTTAAATACGTAATTACTACATGACCCTACTCCTAGACATACACAGTACTCACAGGGGCTAAAAACTCAAGTTCTCATAAGAATTTGGGGACAAAAGCATAATAACAGCATTATTCACAAAAGCCAAAAACCAGAAACAACCCAAATATCTATCAACCGATGAATGAAGACATGGTATATTCATACATGGATTATTTGGCTATAAAAGGAATAAAGTACACATTTCAGCATGTCCAGAACAGGCAAACCCTTAGTAACAGAAAATAAGATTAATGGTTGCTTGGGGCTGGGAAGAAGTGGGCAATGAGGAATGACTGCCAATAGTTACTGGTTTTCTTCTTGGGATGATGAAAATATTTTAAAAATGAGATAGTAGCATAACTTTATAAATATGCCAAATATTACTGAGTTATATATTTTAAGTGGGTATGTTTTCTGGTATTGTGAATTTTATCTCAGTGAGGCTTAGATTTAAAAATATTTCATAACAACACAACTGACACCAAGCAAAGTGAATGAGAAATGGTTTCTTTCCTCAAGGAGCTCAAAATTAATTTCAAGATAAATTAAGGAGAAATTCCATGTTTAAATTATCGACATGATCAAAAATTAACATCTTATTTAACTAGAAGTGTCACTAAGAAATTTTCTTTAACAAGAAAATAGTAGGAACTTTTAAATGCCTTAAAAGCAATTAGTACAAATGTTCCTTTGCTGCTAAAACAACCTCTCAAAACCCCAACAAACTTCATACAAGCTGAGTATCTCAAATCCAAAACTGTGAAATCTGAACAGCTCCAACATCTGAAACTTTTTGAGTGCCATCATGATTCAAACCACAAGACTTTTGTTTCATCCATAAAATTAAGAATATCAAACAAAATTACCTTCAGGCTTTGTGTACAAGGTGGATATGAAACACATAATCTTATTTAGACCTGGACCCTATCCTCAATATATCCCATTATGTATATGCAAATACTGCTAAATCCAAAAAAAGTCTGAAATCAACCATTTCAGATAGGGGCTACTCAACCTGTAGAACAAACATGATGGAGAAGTAAGCCAAAGATGAAAGCAAACACAAACTCACTGTCCATACTCATTTGTTATTTTTTTGATTACCCACTGTTGTAATCCTCATTTCTATTTGTCTCTTGCTCCCCTTTAGTAGGTATTTCCTTCCTTTTTGACGTTATCATTTTTTAAATAACTTTTTTCT